GCGCGGCCTTTTCCCAGGGGTGACGACTTTCCCTGCCGTCAATTTCCTCTGGAGGCTTCGGTGCCCCAGACGCCGCCAGCTCCTTCACTGGCCCTATGGCGTGCACCGTCGTCAATTTCACTGCTGGCGTTGTAGCTGGCTCCGCAATCAAGCCTGCTGCCGGTTGCGTTGCCGGCTTCCTCGGAGCCTGCCCTGGCTCTGCCCCTCACTCTCGGAGCGGCCAAGAGCAGTGGTTGCTCTCCTCCATGTTGGGATTCCCTCTCAGGGTCTCCCCTCAGCAACCGCCCCGCAGTCCCAGCAGGGCTGCTCCTTATTCCCTCCGGGATGCGTCCTCCACCCCCGCTGCTCAGCCGCAGCCGGATAAAGGCCCAGCTGATTGCCCGCGCCGGCGTCTTTGGCATGCGCGCCTCCCCCGGCTCTTCCAGACCTGCGGGAGGTAAGTAAGCCTCCTTGCTGCCCCGGGGTTTCTTCGGTGTCCCAGCTCCCATGGGACACCAGGTGCTGGCCCCGGCCCCAGCCCTGGCCCCCCCAGCCCACCCAAAGCATTTTTCCCCACACTACCCCATATGCACATGTGTGCACCAGGGCAAAAAGCAGCGGCACAAATTTGTTATTTAAGTGTGCTTAAGTGATATTATAGATACAATGATTAGAACAGGTTGACATGTTTTTATGAGATGATTTTTGTCAGAAAAATCAGCTACTTCTAAAGTTGAACTCATAGAAATGTATATGTGTATTTTGGAAGGCTTCTTAAGGTTGAATGAGGGAAGATAGTGAGAGATACTGGAAGACTTGGCTCAATGAATAGCTGGTTATTTGTGTAAAACAAAACATCACCAACAGGAGAAACTGAGGGCAAATGCAGGTATCAAATGTAGGCGACATGAGTTAAAATGCATTAACACACATGTAGATGTGACCTGGCACTAAGTTTAGTGCCAGGTCTGCCCAGCCACTAGGACCACATGGCAGGGCTGCAGGCAGGGCCGGTCCAACCATTAGGCAAACTAGGTGGTCACCTAGGGTACCAAAATGTTGATGGGCGCTGAAATTATATGGAGAATAAGATAACAGGAACATCATTCTAAATAACAACCCTGACTGGCTACAGTTCCTCCTTGGTCTAAAACCTTTGGTTCGGTAAGGGGAGAAAGACCTCTGAAAAGATCTCAGAAGAAAGATCACTAGAATTGCAACTTCTACCTTTTCAACTCTCAAGCAGACTTACGACAAGAGCATACCGCTGGCAACGTCATCCTAAAAGATGAACCGCTACTCCAAATCATCTTGCAGCTTTCTTATTTTCTTCTATACTGGAAGTGGTGGGGGTGCCAATTACCCTTGGACTGGACCTGACTGCAGGGACTTGGAACTAACTTTAGTGCCAAGCCCCTACAAGTGTAGACATCTGCCAAAAATTACTTAATGTGCATTAGCTTAATGAGCATTAAATTTACTTGTGCTTAAATGCACATGTAGATGCACCCTCTGTGGTGGAATTATTTTGTGGAGTAAGCTACCTTGCTTGTACAGCACATTAAAAATGTCTACCCAGGCAGTTAGCACACAGTAGCTAGAATGCTGAAAATCACACCCTAATTCACCGTGTGCTAACTTCCTTGTATAGGGTATTTATACACATACCTTTTTGCGCTGTGATGCCCTGGAGATCCGATGTGTCGGAGCAGACTTGATTAATTGACCTGCTCCACTTGCGAGCTGATACACAACTGCATGCAACACAGTGCAGTGTGCAAGTGGCAAAATGTACGTCAGTGCACAGAAAATGGCAGTGGTGCACTTTTAAACTAAAACACCTTAAATGCGTTTTAGTTGAAAAGCGTGCCACTGCCATTTTCTCAACCCTGATGTGCATTTTGCTGTTTATACAAATGAATGTGCCGCAGCGTCGGGGGCTTTTAAAAGCGCCCAGTGCTGTGGCACAAGTATGTGTAGACTGAATCTTAGAGAGACATTGGTGGTTAGGGCACTCCTGTAGGATGTGGGAAACAGGTGCAAGTCTCTGCTCCAGATCAAGTATAATAAGGATAATTAAAGGTGATCCTCAAAGGCTGATACACCTTTTAGTTTCATTAATGCAAGTGTTATGAAGTGTTATGAATTGCTTTAAAAAAATGATGTGGTGCTTTTACCTTAAATTTGTATTGTGTATACCCTGTTTGATCCGGTAATGCAAAAGATAAGAGGAGAACTAGTAGGATCATGACATCAGAAATAAAAAGAAAGGAAGACCTGAACTACAAACAGGAAAGGTATTTTTAGTGCGAATGCTTAAAGCTCCATTATAACGCTGTCATGTTTGCTTCAAAAGTCTAATAAATGGTCTAGAGGAAAGATTCTAGAATGCTATCTCTCAGTTAGAGGTTGTGAATACTCCATCTGCAGTACTACAGTCCTCCACCAAGCCCTTCAACAAATACAGAAAAAATAAAAATTGACATTTCTCATATTTCTAAAAACGGAAAAAAAACAGCTTTTTAAAAAAAGCCTTTCAGGCTTCTTTATGCTTCATAAAGGCAAAAAAGGGTGTTTGAGGTCATCTTGAAGTGTATCAGAAGATTTTTGTGAGGCATAATTAATATTTGTAAAGCACTTTGACAGCATCAGATGAAAATTGCTGGATAAGTAAAAAGTTTTATTCCTGAGCAAATTGGTGTTCACTGCTGCCATT